ACATCATCACTCCACCGGCCGATATGAATGCCACTCTTATTTCCTACTCTCCCATCACCGTCGAGCCAAAGGAGGTGAAGGTGTACTACGAGTCGAACTACAACATGTTGAACAATTACACAGCATCACTCAATATAGGTGCAGGGTTCATTGCGTTGGTGACCTTGTTCATGGTTGTGTCAGGTATTGCCAACTGGGCGGTATTGTTATGTCCTAGGTTGGTCATGCGCCTTAATGGATCCTTATCCAAGGCGTTGAAAAGGCACATTACCCTTCCGGCTATGTATTCCACAAACAAGAACGTACCACCCAAGCTTTTCGGCCTTCCCCATGGACTCCTTCCTACCCGAGCCGAGTCATTGATTATTTTTCTGCTCTGGGTGTACATGATTTTGGGAAGCAGTATTGGGTTCCATCACGTTAGCGGCAACCCTATGTGGAATGGAGCCCAGTCTGAAATAGGACAACTTATCGGTGATCGGACGGGTATGTTGGCGCTCTTTGTCTATCCAATGCTGATCTTGTTTGCGTCAAGGAACAATATCTTGATGTTCTTCACCCGATGGAGCTATGCCAGATTCAATACCTTACACAGACACATGGCTCGTATCTTTCTTGTATTGGTTATTGCTCACGGCATTGCCAGGACCATTAACTTGTTTGGAGTTTCAACCGCCAATTACAGGAGCAGTATGACAGGTTACGTCTTGTGGGGTATTGCCGCAGCCAGTTGCATGGGGCTTATTGTAATTCAATCCATACTCGTCTTGAGAAGAAAATCCTATGAGGCCTTTTTGATTGTGCATATTGTGCTTGCAATTGCTATTTTGATTTCTATCCATTACCACATCAACTCCTTTGGTTACCAGGGCTTTACCTGGGTTACCATTGGTATTTGGGGATTGGATAGGGTTATCAGATTGATTCGCATGTTTAGCTTTGGCATAAAGGAGGCGAACGTTAAGTTGATCGCCGGTGAAACCGTGAAGGTGACGGTGCCAAAGCCAAAGCACTGGAATGCAAAGCCAGGTCAGTATGCGTTTGTGTCCTTCATGATGCCAGCTTGTTTCTGGCAGTCCCATCCCTTCACGATGATTACCGAAACAGAGTCTGAACTCAGTTTTGCCATCAAGGTCAAAGGTGGTGTCACCCTGAGCTTGTACAAGCACTTGGTTTCCATGCCTTCTCAGACTGCAACCATCAAGGTATGTGTTGAAGGACCTTATGGATTCTCATCCCCAGCTCAGAAGTACAACCAGTCGTTGTTGATGGCGTCGGGTAATGGTATCCCCGGTATGTACGATCATGCCATGAGATTGGATGCCACCAACGCGAAACACTCTGTCAAGTTGGTCTGGGTTATGAGAAACTACATGTCTCTTTCTTGGATGTACGAAGAGATGAAGAAGTTGGGAAGTACCAAGGTTGAGACCATTGTGTACGTCACCAGACCTAATGATTTTATAAGGAAAAACCTTGAACTTTTCGGTAGTGATTCTGCTGGTTCTGAGTCGGACAAATACGACAAGGGTAAGGAAGAGGTCAAAGTAAAGACCGAGATAAACAGTGTGCATAAGTTGCAGGAGAGTTTGCCACACATCGAGTTCAGAGAGGGCAGGCCAGATATTGACGGTATCATCGTAGATGAGATTTCCCTGGCCCAAGGAAGTGTTGCAGTTGTCACTTGTGGCCATGATAGCATGGTTGATGCAATCAGACATGCCGTTGTGAACAGCTTAGACGCTACTTCTCATCGTGTCGATTACTTTGAGGAATTGCAAGTTTGGGCATGAGTCTAAAGTTACATGAAGTTAAGATTGTTGTCATCAGTTTCATTGGATTTTTAAATTTTTAAAAACATGTATCTCAAATTGGAATAATTAGTGGATGTTATAGCATGTGCAAGACTGGATTATCCATGCTAGATGTCTGTTACCTGGTCCATTCAAAGAATAGCCAGTTAGGGAAGAGGGTTTAGCCGTGAATATATCCCTTACATTCCCTGAGCCAACCCTGGTTTTCCTTTTCCGCATTCGGAGGTATCGGATGCACGCAGAGATTTTGCAAATATTGCACGCATGCCTCACAGAGTCACTCGGTTACAAAACGGTGCCACTCAATAACCAAAAACGTGAGACCTGAAAAATGCTTATTTTAAAAGCTTGTTTTTCACATAGAATACCCCAAAACAAGCATTACGGGGTCTGGATTATGTGGTGTGCATGTAAAAGCATCAGTGCATGTGAAATGAGGCTGCGAAAGGTTCAAAATGGAAACCAGAATTCATTGCTCTTGCGTATATTAACCCTGAATAATTTCCACTGACCACCTCCTGTGATCGTCTCTAGTAATATATCTATTCCTTTACCTATGATCTCTATGCAAACCAAGAGCTTTGAAGTATATAACAGTCTGCCCAATTGGCCATGCTTCTTGTACTCAATCGTTTCGCACTAAAGAACCATCAGTCTTGGTGCTTCTAACCTCAGCTGTAGGTCAATGCTCGTAATATGGCTCATTCCGTTACCGGGTAGATGGAATGGCTTTAGATCTGACCTCAAGCGGCTGGTAGAGATACCGCCGATATCTCCCTGGTTCTGGGATACCCTTTGCACAGACGAGAGCTAGAGCTCCACCCCTTTTACGCGCCCAACGCCAGCTGACCGTCGGTCTCTGGGGTAGCCCTTTACATATTCCACGCCTTTCAGCCCGTACGGTAATTCTGCCCGTGGGACTCGCAGAGAAGAATCTTTCCGCTAAACGTGGCCAATTTAACCAATAAGAGAAAGCCACCGCTTAAAGGGATTTTATCTCCTAGTTGTGTGAAAAATGGAAATAGTTCCTGCAGATGCAGACGGAAATCCACAACCTGCACTATTTAGTGAGCGGCGGACTAAAGATTTTACATGCCGCTGCCAAATAAGCTTTTGGTGCAGGTTAAGATCCGGCCGATAAGTCTTGGCAGTACAGCATGAGTGAAAATGAGTATCACCCAGGTTCGGTATAAACCAGTGAATGCAGATTAAAAAAAAAATAGTATAAAATAGGAGCCTTTCCCAATATTTAGTTATGGCTAAGCATCACCATCTGTATTCTTATTTAAGGGAACCAAATCCATTGCGCACGACATACGCATAAAAGTTCCAAATATGGTTAGTTTTGTATCCACTAAAGTGCTAGTCACGGCTACTCTTTCTCTAGGGATTGTGGTGTGTGATGTGTACGAAATCTACACCTCCCAAGACTACGCCGTCATGGCGTGCTCCGGGGTTATCGAGGCAACAACCACCTTTTGCTCGAAAAAAGCACACATCGTCGGGAACTGCTACTGCGCTAGTGTTCCAGAAATGGGATCGCTCTTGACGTGTTTGCACGACATGGGCTACTATAATGACAAGATGGTTGCGTACCTCGGAGATGCCTGCACTGTAAACTACCCAAACACCACGTTGGATGCTCAATTCTTCGACGCCGTCTACCAGAATGCGTCCAAGTACATCATCACTCCACCGGCCGATATGAATGCCACTCTTATTTCCT